CAGGTACAGAAGTGTACGTCTACACTTCCATCCACCAATGCTCTATAGCTTCGTTGGCCTGGCTAAGAGCAAAGGCGCCATGCCCGCTGCAAACACGTACATGACATGTAGCACTTGAATGAATGCAACATCTGAATGAAACTTGGCACACAGGTGTTTCACACACACACAGACACCGCTGTGCGGGGTAGCCTTTGGGCAAACTCGCAAAGGTTTCATCTTTTCTCGTGGTATGGAGAATCAAACGCAAACGTTGTGAGAAACAAATGGTGGACCAAATGAGAAGCTACTGATTTTCAGTCATCCTCTGAGCACCATCATCGAAAAAATTGGAAGTCTGTAATCTTGAAAGCGGCTAGTCCACAGTGGACTCAGTGGACTCATTCCCTGACGCTCCCATTCTATGCAGGCGTCAAGCGTGGGGTCCTTACCTGCGAGAATGGCAGCTTAGGACCAGGTCCATATCCTCGAACTCCGTATTGAACGAGCTCAAGGTGTCATGGGAAATGATCCCGAGTTCTCTGGAACACACTCCTACCAACTTTAGGTTGAGTTCACTGAGAATTGCGTTGGGCGATGGACTCAGAGAAATCGTTTCCGACATGCAGACGGTAAAAAAGGTTTGCTGCCCAAGCACGAACTTCACAGTCGAGAATGCTATCAACCGGGGTCAGCAACTTGTCGCTGCGTGGGTCGACCATGTAGTGCATGGCTGCTGTTGTGAAGACGGACAAGCCAAAACTTCGCAAAGATTACAAGTTCAACCACAGACACATGGTTATGGATTGTTGAAACAAAAGTGAGATCTTGCAGAGGCTTTTTCCACGTTTATTTCACGAGAATTCAGAACGAATCTAAGGTTTGGACTGAAAGACGACATGGTTTCAATTAGTTGAAAGAGGTCGCGGCACTTTATGGCGTTCTAAGGTGTACTAAGAATCTCAGAATCTGTCTGGGAGTGAATCAACGCATCGGCATTGTGCCAAGTCACACGAGCAAGGAACCAAGGTGAAATACCACAACTTGCCAACTGAAAATCAGAAGGGTTAAGAGGCATCAGGGCGAAGTTGTGTGGGGCTATGCCCACACACGGCCGGGAGTAAGCACTCACCGGAAGCAGATAAGAGCAAGGCATTGTGCAGAAGAACGTGCAGGCGTAAGAAGACATGGACAGCGGGGTGTCCATCCGTCAGGAACAGAAGCACACATGCCTACAATTTCACTGCCGATTCGGCAGCAGGCGACTGGGAGGAGTGCCATCCTGGCCACGGACGGGCCGGCAGTTTCAGTGATCCATCCGGACTTGGTGGTCACCCTCGGTTGCATTTCCCACCAGTCGGGTGGGATGTTGAAGGCTTCTTGTACCTGACGGCGGTGGGGCGCCAGCAGCGGACAGGCGGACAGTGCAGAAACAGGTGCACTGGAAAACTGGTGGCCACACGAGCAGCGTTTCAAAGGAGGCGCTCCATCATGTTTGCGGGTACGAGTCTTGACGCAGCCACCGGGTGCAAGGGCAGCAGGCACGTAGGGAGCGCACCACGTGACCCAATCACACGATCAACCAGCTCATATGCAGCGGGCAAACCTTTTGCCACAA